TTGCTGGCGAGAAGATGCTCCATGAACTGCTCTTTCCATATCTGAAAAACCTCCACTCTGGCTCTTTCTGTTTGTGAGTTATTAAAAGAATGGTCATGGGTTATTCTTCTTTTGGATGAACAATAGTGAATCAGATATTAAGAGCCGTTATTTAATTTTAACGTTCTTCAGCAGAAAGCTCCGAGATCCCGACACTACACGGTATAATTTAACAGTAGGATTAAGGGAAAAGCTGAAGAGGGCTACTTTCAAACAGTACCATAGGAAAATCCTAGATGAGACTTTTCCGCATAATACAAAATTAATCTTAATTTACTTGCCTCCTGATCCGCCAGGAATAAAAACCGTTGCGTCATTCATCTTATGTTTTACATGTTGTAAACCATCTAAAGCTGATAAGAACGCTATACCAAGTGAACCAGCCTGCTCGTGGCTGGCACTTGAAGGCTTCTTTACAATATTGCCTTCATCCGCCACACTGTACTGTTGAAAACCACCACCAGTTTTTAAACTAAGCATGCCGAAAACTTCATCACCAACTTTAAATTGTTTCACACTGTTTCCAACACTCACTACCTTTCCGGAAATATCATAGCCTGTGACAGATGGAAGCTTGATATGACCCCAATTATTTTCAGCCATCTTCCAATCAACGGGATTGAGTCCTGCCACATAATTTTGAATCAATACTTCCTTTTCTGATAGATCTGTTGGTTGAACAACCGGTGCTGAATCTGTGAGTTTAAACGGTTGTGCATCTGCTTTTACCCATGACAAGCATTTTTGTTTCTTTGGAATGCTATCGGCGGACATAGTTTATCTAAAACAAGATACCAATCATTTTCTTCCACATCGGTTCACAACGTTCCTAAACTGTCAGAATTCTAGCAGATCTACGAATGTAAAAGTACAAAAGATCAAATAAGTAGCGACATATGTTCAGTTATTGAACATGTTACGCCCTAGTGATTGATTCCTAGAAAAGAATCTGATATGACTCGTATACTTATTGAATACTTGCATAAGTAGTCCGCATGAAAGCAACAAGGCTTTGATAAAACAATAAAGAAAACGATCAGTTAAGAATCCTATAACAATTCGAGAAGAAAAGGGCAAGGGCTGACAAAAACTTTCACTGTTTTTTTTCCTTCTTTAGTTAACTGTATAGTAGTTCATTAGTGAGTGTATAATAGATTGCGAGGCATTCTCAAAACGACCAGCCTTACCTACATTGAAGAAACGTTGAAAAAATTTCGAAGAAATCAGTGCTTATATAGTACGTACTTCTGCAAAATGAAGCGGTATCTGGCTTTTAGTGAGAATTTCATAAGAAAGTGATAGTTCATTCTTATTTGAATCTTACCGGATTCTTATGAAATTTTTGGCATTTTCATGCGGAGTTCTTATGTATGAAACTTATAAGACTCGGATAAGATTCGTACCAGAAATAAAGAAAAATGTTCGGGTAGGGTGGATGGATAATTAAGAAAAACTGTATAGCTTGTTAATTATCGGTAATTTGGGTAAAAGTTTGTTCATATCTTCCTATAGTCGAGTGATGAACTAAAAGCTTCCTCAAATCGAAAATACAGACTTTGTTCAATTCTTAAAAATGCATTTCGTAGCAGTTTTACATTTCTTACATTCTATTTTTTTTAAAAAATGCTTACTATATATTACATTTATTACACACTATTCTGTTTGCAAATTTTGTAGCGTCATGATTAATAAACACAACAGAACACAAAAAGATGAAAATGCACTATAATAGTTAGCGTACAGCACAATTTAATGCGGTGCATATGTCGACATTCAGACGCATTTGTTGTGATAGAATGAAAAAATGAATCGAACAAAAAATCAGAAACATTTCGCTTATTTGCGTGAGGATGAATTATTATCCTGCCGATAAAGGACAAACCGCACAAAAAGATGAAGTAAATGTGCGTCATCTTCTTCCTTATCTTCATCATCTTTGTCTTTCTCGTCCCATAGTCACTGTATATTCATAAACGCTATTGTTAGAGCTCTACCATTTAGTGCTTCTTCTTATGCGGAACTCTGCATGCGAGAAAATGAAAAGAATATTTTTTCTATATTTCTCAATTTCTCAATTTTTGATATTTCGCAAATGCTTTCCTACTTTAGAGGAAGAATAAAAGCTTAATATTTAGTGAACCATAAAACCGTTTACGTTCTTTCCAACATCGTTACAGCGTGCTATTCATTTTACATGAAAAGGATCATGCAATGAGCCGGATCATATGTCCGAAGAGAATGAACGAAGGTACTTCTACAGAATAGTCACACCCTGGACTATACAGTGTGTGTATAATACAGAACAGGAAAAACAATGTGATTGGCTGATTTTAATATGTAATCATATAACTGAATATAAG